ATATTAATTTAATCTACTATGCCAATTGGATGATGTCTGTTAATCTTGAATATGGTACTTTCAAGCACTCAATTTGATTGTTAATTTCAACGCAAAATATGTCAAAGCACATTTTTCAAAAGTTTTGTAAGGCGTATTTGTGAGTAGCTTTCAAGTCTTGGTTTTCATCCACTCTTATTTATCTGACAGTAAATATTAGTATTTGTTAATTAATCTTCGGACTTGTTTTTTCGTACCTTGTATCATTTATGGGAAGCAAATGTATTGGCCGCTTATTCATCTCAAATCTTGATGTCTTATTTTTTATGCTATGTTTGAAATTTACGTAGAGCATTACTTCAATTTCATGTTTTAAACAGAAATCTTTTAAAAATGACGAGGTTTTATAAATATTTATATCAAAAAAAAATCCTGTTTCACAAATACTATTCAAAATACTATTTTCTCAACTAAGCCTTTGCAACTTTCGGCAGGTCATCAAAAAAATGTACTGTCGGGCATTGCCATGATGAAAGACAGCACCTTCACTTCAGGCTTTTTTTGTATAGCGAAGGAAATGCCTTTATGCATCCCAAACTGGTGTTTTATCTGGGTATGTCGGACTCAATACAGCCCTGGTATAATACCGACTAAAACCTCCACTTTGCCCTGGCCTCTGGTCCCCACGGAAACCGCCGTTAGACATTAATTCGTGGGGGGAGAATCTAGAATGTTATTATTCTTAACTTCATTTTATACTCATCTTTTAAATGAGCGAAGTCCCATTCGCTCTTTCTCTTTTCATCGAACGCAGGTCAATTAGCACCACTCTCGCAAATCTGTCTATGGCGTTCCAAGCAGCTTCAGTTGTCAGCATCACTTCAACAACAGTATCTCGAGTAATTCTTCGGCTCAATATCTTTTCCCCATCGTCCCGCAGAGCACCAAATCGCGGGCACACCAAGAACACGTGCTCAGCATTGTAATATCATTCTGGTTTGTTTAGGGCCTCCAACATTAGGCATCAGTCGAGCAAGTTTCGTCCTAACTACGCCTTGGCACTACCATGCTAACTGACGCCTTGGCACTAACGTGTTCCACCTGTTGATTGAAATTCAATCGAGCATCAAGCATTACGCCAAGGTAGAAGATGTGAGATTTTGACGTAATATCTAGATTTCCTATATTTAGCTTAATGGTCTCTATTGTTTTTCTACTCGTGATAAGAACAGCTTCACTTTTTTGTTGTGCTAATTGGAGGTTCATTGTTTGCATCCAGCATTAATTTTTCTACTGGTTATGTCAAATAGACTTACAATCTCATGAGTTCGTTTGGAGACAACTGCTATGGCACATCGTCTACATATGCTACTAGTTTCACATATGCTGGAATCTCAATGCTCAAAAGGCCATCATACATAACATTTCACAGCAAAGGGCCTAGAACAGAGCCCTGCGGTGCATATTTTGTTAAATTATATTCTTCTGTACCATCGCGTAAACATCAGAATTTCTGTAAAGCAGCTTGCGACTATATTGCAGAGGTATGCTGGCACGTTCTTATCACGGAGTGTATTCATAACAGTTTTTTCAGTCATTGGATGAGTTGAGTGTGACATATATTTTACGTCAAAATTACCAGAAGGAAAGGAGCAAACCATTTCCGCGTGGTAGATTTAAATATAGCGCATTTTTTCATTATTTTCTTCATTTTGGAACGCAAGTAACTGTCCAACCACTTAACCAATTTTGTTTGTTATAACCTTATAATAATGCTCAAAGTCACCTTTCAATTAAACATCGCATCTACTGGTGCAGCTGCGACGTGTTTATTTCTGAAAGCGAACTTTTTGACCTTATATAAAATGATTTGCTTAATACTTTTTTGGAAAATTAATTATGATAGCAACATAAATCCGTTATGAAAATTAACTAGTAGAATCGTACCAGCTAATATTCAAATTTATGGGCCAAAAGCGACACTAAGGTCGGCCGCACGCAGTGGCACAAACAACTTTGCTCGGCGTTCGAAACTGCACAAATCATAAAATTCCTGTAGTTTGTATATACACGTGCTCGGTACAATTAACTTTGCAAGATGTTTGATAAACTAGCTGTAAGTGGAATTCTGTCTTAAGGCAATTAAGGCATCGTGCCTTAAGGCAAATTGCTGGAACTTCCCGTACCAAATATTATTAATTTTTTAAAAACGATTAACGTTTTTGAAAAAAATGTACTTTGAAAAAATAATATTTTTGAGAAACTATATATATGGACCAAAAATTACTTTTTTTTGAAAAAAAAAAAATTTTTTATTAAAAAATTTTTTTTAAAAAAAATAATTTTTTTTTAATTTTTTTTTTTTGAAAAAAATTTTTTTTTTCTTTATTTTGACATATTGTGGAAGATCTGAACTTTTTTTCAAAGCAATCGTACTGATTTAACTGCATAGGGACAAAAAAAAAGCGCGTAAGCGCCGCGTCGCTGTCTAACGCATAAGCATTGGTACGGAACCCATAGGAATGTTAACAAAATGTATTCTTATTGTTAAAATCTCTATAAAATATCTGATAATTTGATGTGCATATGTCTAATGATCATTTTTGACCGCCAAATGGCTCATTTTTTTACTTTTTCTTCCATATCTCCGAATCCGCTAGACCTACCTTCATGAAAATTTTATCGATTCTTCATCTTGTCAATACAAGTGAAATGTTTTTTGAATTATTCAAATCGGACGCTCCGTTCTCTCAAAAACTGAGCTACCGTTTTCGGCACTTTTTGCCCCGTATCTTTGGAACGGCTAGACCTGCCTTCGCCAAAAACTAATCAGCACGTCTCCTTATCAATACGAATCGAATGTTTTTTGAATTATTCAAATCGGTTGACCCGTGTTCCCGAAATCGTCGACGAAAATTTGTATCCGCACATACATACACACACATACATACATACACACACACATACACACACACACACACACACACACATACATCCATTTTTTCTAAGGTATGCCAAAATGTTCAGAAACCTCTGAAACGTAAAGATATATAAAAATTTTCATTTTCGATTTTTTTGCGATTACTATAACTTGCCCTACGGGAAGTTAATAATTACATTGATTCTTAAATAAAACTGAAAATTGATTATTACAAATATATAAATTTATACATATAATTATAAATTTATATATTTGTGCGAAAAGTATGTCACTACCACTGTCAGTACTACTGGTCGTAAAATCATCACTGCTATGTAATTCATCACTAATTTTTTCTTGAAGACTATGACTATGTAATATCTCTTAAAAAAGTTCAAATATTTGCAAACAATTGGACACAAAGTATTCAAAAGTCATTTGTAAGGACAATCAGCAAATACTAATTTGTATGTGCTATGCTTTCCTCATGCTTTCCTCATGATTTTTTAGTTTCATGAATTATAAATGATAAGATATTTGTATAAAACAAAATAAATTTATAATAATTTTTATTTAGTAAGTGGCATTTTGCCTTAAGGCAATTTGCGTGAACATACCAACATGTGAAAATAATCGACCTAATAATTAATCAATGTGTTAATTTATTATTGACGATTTATAAGTATTCTGAGTTGCTTATTGTTTATTTTCGACAGTTAGATCAAATATTGTACATTATTGAACTGAAATTTTTAAAAAGTACGAATCATTATTCCAAAATTAATTGCTGTTTTATTTGTAATTATTATTAACTTCCCGTAGGGTAAGTTATAGTAATCGCAAAAAAATCGAAAATGAAAATTTTTATATATCTTTACGTTTCAGAGGTTTCTGAACATTTTGGCATACCTTAGAAAAAATGGATGTATGTGTGTGTGTGTGTGTGTGTGTGTATGTGTGTGTGTATGTATGTATGTGTGTGTATGTATGTGCGGATACAAATTTTCGTCGACGATTTCGGGAACACGGGTCAACCGATTTGAATAATTCAAAAAACATTCGATTCGTATTGATAAGGAGACGTGCTGATTAGTTTTTGGCGAAGGCAGGTCTAGCCGTTCCAAAGATACGGGGCAAAAAGTGCCGAAAACGGTAGCTCAGTTTTTGAGAGAACGGAGCGTCCGATTTGAATAATTCAAAAAACATTTCACTTGTATTGACAAGATGAAGAATCGATAAAATTTTCATGAAGGTAGGTCTAGCGGATTCGGAGATATGGAAGAAAAAGTAAAAAAATGAGCCATTTGGCGGTCAAAAATGATCATTAGACATATGCTCATAAAATTATCAGATATTTTATAGAGATTTTAATAATAAGTATACAATTTGTTAACATTCCTATGGGTTCCGTACCAATGCTTATGCTTTAGACAGCGACGCGGCGCTTACGCGCTTTATATTTAGTCCCTATGCAGTTAAAGCAGTACGATTGATTGCTTTGAAAAGAAAGTTCAGATCTTCCACAATATGTCAAAATAAAAAAAAAATTTTTTTCAAAAAAAAAAAAAATTAAAAAAAAAATTTTTTTTTTTAAAAATTTTTTTCAAAAAAAAGTAATTTTTTGTCCAATTTATAGTTTCTCAAAAATCTTATTTTTTCAAAGTAATTTATTTTTTCAAAAATGTTAATCGTTTTTAAAAAAATAATAATTTTTGGTACGGGAAGTTCCAGCAATTTGCCTTAAGGCACGATGCCCTAATTGCCTTAAGACAGAATTCCACTTACAGCTAGTTTTTTTCAAATCTGAAGAAATTGTTCGGTGAAAAACTAATCAACGCGAGCCCTTATCGAGTTTCTTTAAATATCTCAATTTTTTGGCTCACATACACACACATACTTGTTTCCTAATATCGATGTCAAGCTTTTGAGAATTACTTGATATGCCGAGAGTCCATAAAATTAGCAAATCAATTTCCTGGCAAAATGAAACTTTTACCCAGAATTTAAAAAGATGTTCTAATTGTTCAATATTTGAGTTTTATTTAAAATTCTAACATGTTTTGAAGTCATATGATATATATAAAAAATCGTTTATCTACAGTGCGGCATGAGACGGCCTACATTTGCATTCAACGCAGTACAATCGCCGCGTCGCTCTGGCAAAACACGTCGTTTCAATGTCGGAAATCATGATGGTGCTATTATAAGCGATTCATCTGGCAAGCAATGCTCTTCGAGTAGTGAAGGTACTTCTAGTAACTACGAAACTAAAGGAAATCTTATCGGCGAATGTAATTCATCTCCAACACTCGGATCACTCAGCACTTCTACGCCTCAAAAACCAGAGGGAGATATTCATAATGCTAAGAATCAATTCCGCAGGGCTGCCAACGTCTGCGGAAACGACGTCCAACTAGTTTCCACTCCACTACCATATAGCACCACAGGTAAGATAATGGCACGGAACTTTATGCATGTATTCAATATCTCCGATAAGAAATAATAAGAAAAATAATTGCATCTGTCGTCAAATCGTGTAATTTTAATAAGCACTTGATAATAACTATAACTTGATAATTTTTATGTAATGCATTTATCTATTTGTCTATTATATAATATTATATATTAGCGTTATTAGTGACTTCGTCCGCGTGGAATTTATAAGTTTTTGCATTTTTATTCAAATTATTATTTATTTTCAGTCTTCTAAAAACATTTTTATATACAATATTTATTGTACGATTTTCATAGGCTAAAACGCTACACCCCACGGCGGTAGCAAATGGGCAGATGTGTATTTGGAGGGCATGGTTAGATGCAGGGGGCAGTGAAAACATAGAACAAACAAAAATAGAAAAATAATTCAAATTAAGATTTAGAAATGTGTTGATATGTTAATTGAAACAAAGTAAAGTCGATATTTCTTGCATTGAATAATTTTTTTGAATAAAAAAAAACTACGTCAATAATATTTTATCAATAGCTTCATAAACTGATCCAGAGATGATAGGGCGCTCAAGGGGTTTCTTACATATTTTAAAAGTGGAAGTACCAATTGCATTCACTGTACTGAGTCGTTGATCGCCTATGTCTTGTTGCCCAATATTTAGCGCGCACCTTCATAATTCATTACAATATGTGATTAAATGTATCAGCATGATAAGCATCAGATAGTGAATGATAGTTTATTTAAGAACCTTTGTATTGAAAATTATGAAGAATTTTATCGTTTGTGGCTTCTTTAACCTTCTTGCTACAAGTCGTTGATCGCCTATGTCTCGTTGCCCAATATTTAGCGCGCACCTTCATAATTCATTACAATATGTGATTAAATGTATCAGCATGATAAGAATCAGATAGTTGAATGATAGTTTATTTAAGAACCTTTGTATTGAAAATTATGAAGAATTTTATCGTTTGTGGCTTCTTTAACCTTCTTGTACATGTCGTCCCTAGACGACATCCTCATGACATACTATGTGTACGAATGTCGTGCATGGGCTTAGCCTTAGCTTCAATATTGAGAATTCTAGTTTTTTTATTGTAATTTGTAGTTTATTAAAACCGTAATTTTTAATCTTTTAACACATTTTATTGATAATGAAAGGATTAAAGATGAAAGTGGGGATTTGCCCAACTAATTTAATCCAAAAATTTGATGATATACAAAAATGAATATATTTATTCGGGATATTTTTTGTTATTTCTTGTCTAACAATAAGTTATACCATCTTCACCTACCAATGAAAACAGAATATGGCAATTGCAAAAATTTAGGAATCAAATAATGCCTTAGAAATATAAATTATAATGATCATTTCAAAACGTTCCAAAATTATTATGTTGATACAAAAAATATCTATGTGTATTAAATAAAATATATTTTAGGTGATTGTCAAAAGCCGAGGAAGCGCAAAGAGCGTCTAGATAGTTCTTCATCCATAACACAAGAAAGAAAACTAGTGCGATCTAATAGTGAAGAAAGACCCCCTGAAGAAAAAAGTGAGATACGGCGGGTGGTGTCTCACGAAGATTTTCTTCCACTGCATGTACACAATGCTAGACTTGCCAGCCAATATGCACATAACGATAATATACATAAGGTGAGCTAATTTTTCGAATTTATTTCTATTTTTAACTTTATGCCTTTAAACATAGTTTATAGTTGTTTTCTTGTCGATAGTTAAAGTCGTTATTATTTTTCTTAAAAAAACAACAAATTATATTTTAAAAATGTTTATAGTTATGTACCGCGTCGAACTTGCTTTTTTTATATTTTTATATTATCAATGTCCAATTAGTTAACATAAAACTTGCCATTTATTAACTTCCCGTATGGTAAGTTATGGTAATCGCAGAAAAATCTAAAACGAAAACTATTACATAAATTTACTTTTCATAGTCTTTATAATATTTTGGCATATCTCACAATTAGAAAAATATGATTTATATGTGCGTGTGTGTGCGAAGCCATCTGAGAGCGCGGATTAGCCGATTTGATTAATTCAAAAACATTAGATTTCTATTGATGGGGAGACATTCTGATTAGATTTTTTTTGGCTAAGGCAGTAATTTCGAAGATACGTGGCAAAAAGAGCCATAAATGGTAATTCAATTTTTGAGAGAACTGAGCGTCCGATTGTAATGATTTAAGACCCATTTTACTTGTATGGACCGAATAGTCAAGTGACTAAATTTTTTGCGTCAAAGTTAAAAACTGTTTAACTGAACATTGATTTGGCATTGATAATTTTAATTTCTAAAAAAAATACTGATATATTATTTTTTAATTGCTCAGACATCAGATCTTATTGTTAGTCACAAGGTGTATTAAATAGACAAAAAATCATGCTGCTATATCGTTTTTTATGTTTACTTAAGTGAAATATTTTATTTTATTTAAAATGTTTGTTAGTCAAATCATTTTTTTTTTTAAATGTTAATCGTTTTTAAAAATATAACTTTTGGTACGGGAAGTACCAGCAATTTGCCTTAAGGCACGATGCCATTGTGCGACGATCGGCCAAGCCGTTTCTTCGTAAATGGCAGAGAAGTAAAAAGTCTTTCGTCCACGTTTTAGCCCGCAATTCTGAATCGATTTTGAAAATTCAAAAATCGTTCGAAAGATATTGGTTGGGAATCGACCTGATTAGTTTTTGGTAGAGATCGGCCGGGCCGTTTTCTTGTAATAAAGTTTTAAAAAAAATTTTGACGATTTTTATGATTATTTTTTTGACGGTAGAATCCATAGTCTTCTATATCATACTAAAATATTACGGCCCTACGACAACAGGTTCAGCTTTAAAAATTCGTCAAAGTTTGCAAAAATTGGTATCGTTTTTTGGCATTTGTCAAAATTAGACCTTTGATCGACGTTTTCTCCAAAACGCCTGAGCCGATTTTAGAAATTAAAAGCTATTTGATGTATTTCGGTGAGGACTATCGTTTGTCAGTTTTGTGTGACGATCTGCCAAGCCGTTCTTTGCAATTTGAAAAAAAGTGTTAAACTTTTCGTCCACATTTAAGCTCATCCTACCGAACCGATTTTAAAAAATCAAAAATTGTTCGAAAGATATTAGTTGGGAATGGTACTGATTAATTTTAGGTGAAAATCTACCGAGCCGTTTTCTTGTTATTACCTGTTGAAAAAAAAATTTAAGCCGATTTTCATGGAACTTTTTTTGGCGATATACATCATGATCTTATAGAACTTACTGTAATATTGCGGCTTTACGACAAGTAGTTTAATTTTAAAAATTCGTCAAATTTTGCTAAAATTATTATTGTTTTTTTAAAGTAGGATTAATGAAGTATATTATTTACTCTTTTTTTTATTAAGTCGATTATTTACACATATCTGGAAGTTCATGTAACTTGCCTCAAGGCTAAATACCAAACCAACTAGTTTATAATGATTTACACTCTAAAAAAATCCCTTAACAAACTTCAAAAAGATGCATCAAAATCTGAATAATCGTTTCACACATCGTTACAGAAGAAAATTTATATATAAGAAGATATATATTGGAGTATGTAAATTTGGTGTTGATATATATTAAAAGTTTTAATAATTCGTTTAATAATCGTTTTAATTTAAAACGATATGTGGAATCGGACAATAGCACCAAATAAAAAAAAACTAAAGCAATTAGGAAATCAGATTTATTAATCTATACGTTTCAGTCCTCGTCGAGACCGCCATTCAGTGGAAAACTTTTTTATAATTAATTTATGTATAAAAAGAAAGTGGATATAAACATATTGAACTTAAAGATATAGAATATATTTTTAAGAGGAATATAAAAGATATCTTTTTGATGGTCGATTTCCAACCAATATCTTTCGAAGGGTTTTAGAATATTTAAAATCTATTCAGAATTTACAAAAAACGGCTTGGCTGATCGTGGCGCAAAATTGATAAACGATAGTCCTTACCGAGTTACATTGAACGGCTTTTAAATTCTTGAAATCGGCCCAGCCGTTTTTGAGAAAACGTCGACGAAATGTCAAAAATTCGTTCACACACACACACATACTTTTTTCAAATTTGGTCTCATTCGATTCAGAATGGCTTAAAACGTCGAGAAAACATAAACTTAGCAAATCGGATTTTTTGATAAAAGCATAAACTTCTTCTTCGGGAAGTTAATTAGTATATTGGTATCCAATGTATAAATAAATAATACATTTAAAAAATAGTGCGTGTAAGGATCACAGGCGATTGAAGTAAAACCTATTTGCTACTGTACAAAGTAACAATTTTAAGTTAAGTAAAAATAAATATATCATATAACAATTCTGAAAAATGTTTATTAGTAATATGGTAACACTCGTGATGTGATTATACACATTTATAATAATGATAAATTATAAATTATATATATAATTAATTATATTAATAATAAATTAATAATTAATTATATATTTATAAGGTCATTAAAAATATGTATAATATTTAGAAACAATAATGTAATTAAAGCCATACATCAAA